AGTACATAGACTACCGGATAAAGGCTGGACCCATGAAACCAGTAGGAAAGTGCACCTTGGAGTATTCAGGGGAGTTTAGCTTGTAGAAAACTAGTGATAATGCAAAAGAAACTCACTTATAGAGACACTGGGTGTCCTGGGTAGAAAACATAACTTCAGAGTGTCACCTTACAGCCTTACAGGGTCTTTCTTCTCTGACTTGTGTTAACGTTCAGTTCAGTGTTCTCTGGACTACATAAGTCCATGTTCGTATTCCCTTTCAAACTAATTCCAGCCTCTCTCTCTATTCAAAGGTGGGTTAAATAAAACTGATGGAATAATTTTGTTTTTTCCTCTATCTATCTATCTATCTATCTATCTATCTATCATCTATCTATCTATCTATCTATCTATCTATCTATCTATCTATCTATCTATCTATTTAGTGTTTTGCCTACATGTATGCCTGCATGCCAGAAGAGGGCACCAGATCTCATTACAGATGGCCATGAGCCACCATGCGGTTGCTGGGAATTGAACTCAGGACCTCTGGAAGAACAGTCAGTGCTCTTAACCTCTGAGCCATCTCTCCAGCCCTGTTTTTTCCTTTATTGAAAATAGATTTTTTTCATACAATATATTCTGATGACAGCTATCCTTCCCCCTACTCCTCCCACTTCCTCTGCACCTCCCTTTCCATCCAGAGCCACACCCTTTCTGCCTTAGAAAACAAACAGGCATCTAAGGAGTAATACTAAGATAAAACAAAGCAGATCAGAATAGGACAAAACAGAAGAAAAAGAGCCAAAGAAAAAGCACAAGAAACACATATAGATGCAGAGGCAACATTTGCACACACAGGAATCCCATAAAAACCCCCAAACCAGAGGCCATACTATACATATAAAGGACCTATAAGGTTTTTGGTTTTTGTTTTGTTTTTGTTTGGTTTGTGTATGTGTGTGTGTTTAAAGCACTGACTCAACATTAGACAACAAGAACCTCCAAAGATTCTGCTTAGTTCGTTTTGTTGGCCATCTACTTCTGGGATATGGCCTGCCCTTGAGTGGTTTATTTCTCCTCCCTTTCTCTCCCCTCCCCTTCTACCCTCTCCCATGGTCCACATGCTCCCAATTTACTCAGGAGATCTTGTCTTTTTTTTACTTCCCATGTACATTATATCCATGAATATCTCTTTAAGGGTCCTCATTGTTGTCTAGGTTCTCTGGGATTGCGAGTTGTAGGCTGTTTGCTCTTTGCTTTATGCCTAAAAGCCATTTATGAATGAGTACATGTGATATTTTTCATTCTGGATCTGGGTCACCTCACTCAATATGATGCTTTCTAGATCCATCCATTTGCCTGCAAATTTCAAGATGTTGTGTTCCCCCCCATTGGTATTTTTCATTTATTTATTTATTAAAGATTTCTGTCTCTTCCCCACCACCACCTCCCATTTTCCCTCCCCCTCCCCCAATCAAGTCCCCCTCCCTCATCAGCCCAAAGAGCAATCAGGTTTCTCTGCCCTGTGGGAAGTCCAAGGACCACCCTCTTCCATCCAGGTCTAGTAAGGTGAGCATCCAAACTGCCTAGGCTCCCACAAAGCCAGTACGTGCAGTAGGATCAAAAACCCATTGCCATTGTTCTTGAGTTCTCAGTAGTCCTCATTGTCTGCTATGTTCAGCGAGACCGGTTTTATCCCAGGCTTTTTCAGACCCAGGCCAGCTGGCCTTGGTGAGTTCCCGATAGAACATCCCCATTGTCTCAGTGTGTGGGTGCACCCCTCGCCCTCGCGGTCCTGAGTTCCTTGTGTAACCATGAAAGGTACCTCATTCTTTAGGATAAGGACATTTTCTTCGGTGATTTTGGTGAAAATATTTTCTTTGCCTTTGACCTGAGTTTCTTCTCCTTTCTCTATTCCATCAATTTCCTTAATGTGTGTGTATTAGTTTCCTATATAAGGACCTCTATTATACTCATAAAGACTATTTTGAAGTGCTTTTCTTGTGCTTCAGCTATGCCGCACCTCTCAGGGCCAGTTGAAGTAGGGCTGCTGAGCGCCAGTGGAGATGTATTGTCCTATTGTGTTTTTATGCTGGCATCTAGGTATCTGTGTTTGGGATGCTTGTATTTCTAGGTGCTGATATTTGATCTTTTCTTTGTTGGTGGGAATTTCTTGCTTTCTGTTCCTCTCTCTGTTTCTTAGGAGAATGTGGTGGCTGTGTGTTGCTTAATATAGAATGCCTCTGAGATCCTGCCAGGCATGGCCACTGGGGGTTCTGGGTAGAATGTGTTTCTAGGTATTGGGGGCTGACACTTAGGAATGGGGATGAGCTGGAAGGGATTAGCAAAATAAGAAATGAGGAAAATTTCATCACCATTTTTGTGCAATCATTATTTAGGAACCTCCTACACCACTCGAGGAAATATGTTTGCATTTTTTGTTTTTGTTTTTGTTTTTGTTTTTGTTTTTTGTAGCAAGTTTTCTTGTTGGACTATCTTTGAACCACCAGTCAGTAAATAATGTCTCTGAGACTTATTATTATGAAAGTTTGACCCTAAAGTCAAGGCTTTTTTCCAGATAGCTCTTAATTTAATTAATTCATAGTTTTTTCATCTATGTTCTGCCACGTGTCTCAATGGCCTCTTCTTCGTACGCCACACCCAACTTGCTCTGAGTCTTCTGTCAAAATCATGTGCCTACATTCCTCCTCCCAGTTTTTCTCTTTCTACCTGGAAGTCCAGCCTATTTTTTTCCTGCCAAGCTATTGGCCATTTAGCTCTTTATTAAACCAATCAGAAGGCGCCTCAGGCAGAGAGACACCTTTATAGTGTAACCAAATAACTTGCAACAGTTTTTGAGCTCTGATCTTACTCTGTAGCCCAGGCTGGTTTTGAACTCCTAATGATCCTGCCTTAGCCTACCAAGGGCTAGGATTAAAGGAGTGCATCCACATACATGCAAAAGTGTCATTCTTATGTTTAAGGCCTTCTTTTTTTAGAGGGCAGGGATGTTAGAGAGTCTCTTCTGATGTATTCTGGACTGGCCTTCTACTCACTATATGCGTAGTGGTTTGGATAGGAGGTGCCTCCCTTAGTCTTGGGCATTTGAACATTTGCTCCACAGTCACTGCCTTTGACTGAGGAGGCTTAGGCGTTGTGACCTTGTTCCCCCTTATTGGGGGGCAAATATGTCACTGGGGATAGGCTTTAACAGTAAAAAGCCTTACCTGTTTCTAGTTTGCTCTCTCAGCTTAATGCTTGTAGTGGTTAAAGGTCTGAGTTCTTAGCATCCTGTTCCTACCTCCATGCCTGCCACTTGCTGTCATGGCTTCTTGCCATGATGGACTCTTATCCCTCTGGAGCCATAAACCCAATTTAACTTTTCCATAACTTGTTCTTAGTCATTGTCCTTATTAGATATGTTTACCAACCATACATAATCCAGGGTCACTGGGAAAGAGGAACTTCCATTGAGAAAATGCCTCTTTTAAGTTGCCCTCTTGGCAAGTCTATGGGGCCAGTTTTCTTGATTAATGAGTGATGTGGGAGGGCCCAGCCCATGGTGAATCGTGACATCCCTGGGCAGGTGGTCCTGGGCTGGGTAAGAAAGAAAGCTGAACAGGCCATTAGGAACAAGTTGTGTCCCTCCGTGGTCTCTGCTTCAGTTCCCATCTCCAGGTGCCTGCTTGAGTTCCTGCCTTGACATCCCTTCATGGTGGACTACCACAATAAGCTGAAATAAACCCACTGTTTCCTTAGTTGCTTTTGGACGTGTGTCTTTATCAGCACTAGAAATTTAAGTAGGGTGAGCATGGTGTTTTCTCATAACAACAGAAAACAAATATGGTTTTGAACTTATGCCAGGCTTTCTCTCCCTCAGTACTGATATTGAACCTAGGCCTCCTTCATGCTAGGTCAGAGATCTAGAATGAGTTACATGGTCAGTGTTTAGTGTCCTTCTCAAGGATACAGCCCACATACACCCCTAGGATCTACCAAAAAGACTAGCTACTCCCTCCCCTCCCCACCCCCACTCAGTTCTTTAGCCTAAAGTCTGAATACTATAGTTAGGTTTAGCATTTAACTTAGAAAAAAATGTTATGAACTAGCTTAAGGGAAAGTGGGATAGAAAGAAGTTTATCAAATGCTACAATGCTCAAGATACTAGGCATTGCTTTAGTTGATCTGGAGACAATCTTGTCTTAAACCCCACCTTGAGTGAGAACACAGTAAACCGAGACTTAGGTACTTTCCCACGGTCATTCCTATCCGCTCTAAGTCCTACACACCGTTTTCTCATGCTGAGTATGCACATTGTGCCCTTACTAGGTATATGTTCTGCTTATTGATTTTCTCGTTGGTGCTTCCAAAGAGTTTGTTTTCTCTTCTGACCCAGCATGGGGGTTGGTGAGAGTGTGTGTGTGTGGGGGGAGTATTCTGCTTTATAGCAAACTGGAAAGCCAAGAAGATTGGCATAATGGAGACAGTGAGAAAGAGTGGGGGAGGGGTGGGTGTGAGAAAGGTGACTTGAGGGCCTTGGTACCCAGGTTCCCGCTCTGCCTGGTCTGCAGCTGAGCCACTGCCCTCCAACTTATGTTAGTGGGATGCTTCCGATCCGACCTGCTTGTGCTCCAGTTCTAATCAACACTGGCAGATTCTTCTCTTACCTAGTGTTTCCTTTTAGTTATTGGAAATATAAATTATTACTTATTTTCACTTCCAATTCTATGTGAAACAGTTATAAGTTAAACAGTCTTTTGTGGGTTGACCTTAGAATTTATCACTACCAGCTTTTTTTTTTTTTTTTTTTGCATGCTGAGACTTAAACAAAGGATTTTCTGCATTCTAGAAATGTGTTGTAGTCTGAAAGCCTAGCCATTTGCCTTCGAAGACTGTTTCTGAGTGAGAAGTACTTGGGGCCCCTAAGGAAATGTACTCCAGATGAACTTGGGACTGAGTAACTTAGTTCAAGACGAATTCTGTCTTTATGCTGTTTGAGTCAACAAGGAAGAGCAAAAGTCCCATGAAACAATGTGTTTTAGACTACGCAACAGGTGACAGAATCTGCTGCCATAATTACCTCACGGATGGACCTTTCTCGTTTAAGTTATTCCACAACTCCAAAAGGAAGCCCTGTAATGCTTGGAAAACACGATGCAGTAATGATGTTCCAAACAGCGCTAGCAGGTTTTATGAAATTTTTTAATCTCCTTATGTGGCACTGTTTCCCCATGAGTCTCTAAGATGCTGACCTACAATTGACTTCATATTCTGCAAATTAATGTTACATCCATCTGTCTTGACAATCAATCACTTGTTTGTTGATGTTTTTTTTGACTTCCTACAGCAACTTTTTCATCAATCCATGGCGTAGCTGGTACCGAATGAGAATGTCTTATAGCCAACAGGGATGTCTGATAAGTCTAATTGAGATAATCCATGAGCGAGAAATGGCTCAACCATTAAAAGCTAGGCTGACAACCAAAACTAAGTCATAAATGAATCTCTCTTGTTGCTAATTCTCTAGTTCCATCCTTATGTTAGCTAACGATGTTGACTGATCCTAAACAGACTACTGCCGATTTGTGTACTTCATCCATCAGAACATTAATAATCAGTTAAGAATTTCTGTGATCTTGGAACTTGGTTCTTGTTTTTAAATATTGCAGCATAAACGATTCTTCATGAGCCATTGACTTTCCTGCTTAGCAGGTCGTCTAGTGGGCTTATGTTGTTTAGTTTACGTATTTCAAGGATATTCTCCAGAGGCTTCGAGTCATACTTCATAGGTAAGGCAGTAAATTTGCGTGTGCGTGGTGGTCTTACTCTGGAAAACTGTCTTTGAAATCCACCTGTCTTAGCGCCCTTTTCTTCAAGAGCAACTTTATCAAAGGAACCCACAATTTTTTTGGTTAAGATAGAAAAGGTTCGGGATATATTATAAAGTGTGTCCGGAGGTCTCTTTTTGGAAGCCAGACTCTCATGCATCTTCTTTCGTTTCTCCTTTATACTCTTGTGCACCCGTTCCGTAGAGAAGACGTGCAGATCTTTGTGATGTGCTACAGCCTTAGTTCTTTGAGGCTTAGAAACAGCACTGGGTTTCTCATAAAACATAGCTTTAAACATTTCACAGTTTTTTTGTAGAACAACATTCTTTGTTGTATACGTCATAACATAGGGAGTGAACCTTTTCATCAGGAACAGCTTCATTATATACGCTTTGTCATGGAAAATTATCGGATTTGTGTGACTTTCTTTCTGTATAGAAAACAAAAACAATCGAAACACTGAGTCATGAGCCTATTGAGGCAAGGCTATATATGTATTTTAAACATGAAAATAAATTTGTAAAATGTTTTAAATAACTATATTGAGGTACATGACATCAACAAGAATATCATTCAAATACATTTAAAAAGGTGCTTTTCTTTGGCACACTTCCTTCTCAAAATCTGAAGCCTTGACCTTCTTAAGTTCTTTCTGAAATAAGGTGAGTTTGTAGAAGTAAGTTCTTAATTCTTGGGGCATTGTGAATTGAGAGAAGAGAGTTAGTAGGAAGGAACACCGTGAGCATTTCTTAAATGTCCATGCTCTAGATGTAAAAGGAATATACCCCCGAAAATGGGTTGAGTCAAAGAGAAGAGATTTAAGTGAATATAAGCCCAAATGACCATGTATGGGCTATTCTAATTTTAAAAATTTGAATTTTGTCTATTATTGGGATATTTACAATTGTACCTTAGGACTTACTACAGTATTTGGTAAAAGTGTTTAATAGATATTTGAATAAAGTAGCCAAAGTAATAGATAGATAGAAAAGTAGAACATGCTTTACTATAGTAATAGCAAAATCTATAAAAAGTATTCTTTAAAGTCCTACCCCCACATTGGCATAAATAATTTTCACAGTCCTTAATTCTTTCTGTAGATAAAAATCAATTCCATGGAAACTAGTAAAATATGCGTATTACCAATATTTGCTTTGCAAATCTTAAGTCAATAATTTCTACATTAAAAAAATAAATAATAGAGATTTAATTCTCACAGCTTTGAAGGGCACGAAGTCCAGACTCGAAGATGGGATGGGTTTGGTGCCTGGTTTGTCCTTTATAGTTGGCACTGTCTCAGTGTCCTTGCACGGGAGAAGATTCAAAGGTAGAAACAGCCCGGTCAGTTCCCTGGAGTCCTTTGCTAGCATACTGACCCATTCCTGAGAGCCGTGTGATCACTTCATCAAAACCTTGTTGTGACTATTACACTAGGTCTTATGACTCAACTTATAGATCTGGGCAACAGAGGCATTCAGATCACATCAGCAGCCATCCTAGGGATGGGCCACTCTGCCTCTTTACCTGGTCGCTGGGAAAGGCTTACTGATTTCTTAGGTGAGAAAGACTTAGGATGAGAAGAAGTCGCGAGGCAAGGGGGGGGGGTGCAGAGACAGGCAGAGAGAGCGGATGGTGGTGGGCAATGCCTGCACAAAGGATTGATTAGGTACCATTACAGGATGTGTGGACTGGGAGATGGATTGGAAGGGGACTCTCAACGGAGGCAGGTTGGTGTCTCATGCTGGTTACAGCTGGGAGGTCTCTAGGTAGAATAAACTAAAACAGAAACAGAGCAGGAACCAGGGGCAGGGAAGCGGAATGAGCCCTGGACAGCAAGCCAGGAGGGGGTCTTTCCCAGGACGAAAGCAGAAATTAGAGGGATGGTGTACAAGTCTCCTTAGCACGAAATGTACCGCAATGACTGTAATTCCCCAAAAGATAACCAGAGAACCAGTTTACTGTCCTTTGGTGATAAAAACCTTACCAACTAGCCACAGTTGTGCCCTTTGCGTTAGTTTTAGTTTATCCGGCACTGTAGGGAATTCCCACCATACAATACATTTTTTATATACTAATTTATTACCATACTGATTTATTACATTAGTATTAAGTTCTCAACTTCCCCAATGCTGCAACTCTTTAATGCAGTTCCTCATGTTGTGGTGACCACCCTCCCCCTCCAGCCATAACATTATGTCGTTGCTACTTCATAACTGTAATTTTGCTCTTGTCATGAATCGTCATTTCAGCATTTGATATGCAGGCTATCTGATATACGACCCCAAAAGAGTCACAGCCCACAGGTTGAGAATTGCTGCTGGAAGCCCATGGATGGTAAGATAGGAACTATTTTCACCAGCCTCCCTGGAATTAGAGTATGGAACTTAGGCTCTGCCAATCAGATCACCTCTAAGAGTCTTCAGTTTAGAAGGAGTTGCCTTGAAAAGCTGGGGTCTGTGGGGGTGAAAAACTAGTCTACTTAGGATTGCAGACACTATAGAGCTCTTAGAAAGCATCCCCCCTCCATCACACAAGTTGTTAACTATGACCTGTGGCTGTACCACAGACTCAACAAAACCGAGTGGTCTATATTTGGATGACCCTATCAAGATGGTTTTCAAGTCACATTATCTTTCTAGCCTTCCCTGAGGCTTGGGGTATTGATTTTTACTGAATAGTAGTAGATGTTACCATGGAATAAAGCACGGTCTCTGTTGGACCAAGGTCAATTATCTTGATGGTGGGATTTTTCAGTACATCCTCAAAGTGCAAGGGGAGTAAGATGTTCTGCTTTACTGGACGAGGTGATCTTGCTTGGTTATCTCTGACTGACTCGTCTGACTCGTTTTCTTTTGCAGTAAAATCATTTACCAGTGGATGATGGGTTCTCCTGAAAAAAAAAAAAACAGTTTAGGAAGCAGTTTGTGGATTGTAATTTCAACTAATCAGTTCTCACTCTCTATAGAAGTTACTGTCAACAGCTCCCTGATCCAGTTGATATTAATCAACCTGATAAGCCCCCCCCAGCCCCGCCTGGATTGTGGGAGAAGCAGCAGGAGTGGATGAAGTCCTAGGTACCTGTTGATTTTGAGCGGGGAGCATGCTGGGGAGGCTGGATAGAGCACTATAGAAAGGCAGACACAGCCTTTGCTGGTTTTTCTTTCTTTCTTTCTTTCTTTCTTTCTTTCTTTCTTTTTTTTTTTTTTTTAGTAGTTTAGTTAGGAGGATGCAACAGTGTGAACAGGCACAAAAAGAGTAAGAGAGTTTGCATCTCTGGTCTCCTTTGATTTACATGGGAAATAGCCTTGCCATTATAGGCTTTTGAGGCGACCCATAAGACACATTTGGCAAACAGGAAGTAGATAGCCTTATTCCCAGAGGGCAAGGATGGAGGAGGTGACAGAGCAAGCCTGTCCTGCCTGTGGGTCCTCAGAGTGCACCCCGATCAACTTCCTGGAGAGCCGACCATGAGCTCATGCCCCACAGATAGTCAGTCAGCAGCATGAGGGGTCTGGCTCTGCCCCTGGTCCAGTACCTTCTTTTCCTTTTCCCAAAATCCATCAAGGCCCTCGCTCCTGTCTACTCTGCAGATACAGTCTTGGCAAGAAACATAAGGGTGAGCTAAGGCCAAAGAGCCTATCTGTCATTGCGCCAAAGTTGCAAGTGGGACTTTTGCTCCATTGTGCAGAGTTGTTGATGAGAAGAATCTAGATGTTATACAAAAAAACAAACCACTTTTTCACCTCCGTGTGGAAGTCTGACTAAATTTGTGCCTACTGCAGAAACAAAGTTATATTCTCTGTGCTTGACTTGACTGCTCAGGTCCAGGTGGAGTGCCCGTAAGTGACCAGCCTGGGACTCCTACTTTGATGGTACTATGAGAGTAAATGTTAGTAATAAGCCAGGAAAAAAAAACATTCTGTATTACACAAGGCAGAACTTGTTTTACTAGGGTCATCATTGAACAGTGTAAAATATTAACATTTTAAAGATAAATTACCCTTCTTTAAGAGAATCTGCTGAGTGGTCTGTAGAATACATAGACTTCATAGCTCTGTTTCCATTTTTATCTGAAATCACAGATTTCCATAAAAGTTATGTAAGCATTATGCTACCTAGAAAATGTCTGTATGAAGCATCTTATAGTTTAAAATAACAGAGGACATCTGATGTAATGGAAAATCTGTAGTAGCTTGCTCACGCTTCTTTGTTTTTTTTTTTTTTTTGTGAGTTTGCATGTGTGTTATGTGAGTGACCATGGAGGCCAGAGATACCAGATCCCCTTGGAACTGGAGTCACAGGTAATTGTGAGTTGTCTGATGTGGGTGCTGGCAATCAAAATCAAATCAGGAAGGGTTCTTACCACTGAGCCGTAGATGAAAAGGCTTCAGTGTTCCGCTAAGACAGTTGCAAACGGAAAAGTAACCCTAGAGAGTTTCCGTGGAGAAAAAGGTTTTGTTGTTGTTGTTTTGTTTTTATGTTTTGGATATAGGGCCTCATGTGGCCAATGCTGGTCGTAAATCCCCTATGTAGCTGAGGATAGCATTGAACTCTACTCCCCAAGTGTTAGAATCACAGATGTGCACTAGCATATTCGATTTCATGCAGTACAGGGGAACCCAGGGCTTCACGCAGGCTAGGCAAATGCTTTACTACGTGAGCTGTATCTCCAAGCTCAAACATGTTAGTATGGAGAGAAGTCACTTTAGCAGATAGCAAATAGGTCTTACCACCTGACACGAGGAAGTCTTCAAGGCCAAGTTCTTCCAGATATATCTCGTGGCCACTCCAAAATTTTATTGCCTCTTTAAATGATCCCAGGTACATACTGTCTTAGTCACTGTTCTATTGCTGTAAAGAGACACCATGACCAAGACAACTCATAAAAGAAAGCATGTAGTTGGGGGGGGTCTTGTTACAGTTTCAGGGGGCTAGTCCGTAATGGTGGCAGGAGCAGACAGGCATAGTGTTGGAGCTGAAGCCGAGAGCTTTACACCCTGATCTGCAGACAGCAGATCAGGTACTGGTGTAGGGTTTTGAAACCTCAAACCCTACCCCCAGTGACACACCAACTCCAACAAAGCCATACCTCCTAATCTGTCCAGACGATTCATCAGCTGGGGACTTAGTATGCAAATATGTGTTAGCCTATTGTGGTCATTCTCGATCAAACCACCACATTCCGCTCCCTGGCCCCCATAGACTGGTAGCCATATCATAATGTAAAATGCATTCAGTCCAACCTTAAAAGTCCCCTTAATCTTTCAGTCTCAAGACTGCTTTAAAAGTCCAAAGCCTCTTCTGCAACTCAAGGCAATCTCTTAACTGTAGCCCTCTGTAAAATTAAAATTGAAAAGCAGCTCACATACTTCCAAGATACAATGGCATAAAATAGGCATTACCATTCCAAAAAGGAGGAAAAGGGGGCATAATGAAAAAATACTGGGCCAAAGCAAGACGGAAAGCAACAGGGCAAACTGCAAATTCTGCGTCTCCGTATCTGACGTCAAAGCGCCCTTCAGATCTCCAACTCCTTTCAGCTTTGCTGACTGCGACACACTTCCTTCATTTCCGCTGCTTCCACAGCCAGTCTGCAGCTTTCCTCAATAAGTATCTCACAGCTCTGGCATCTCCAATATCGTGGGGTCTCCAGTGCAATCCAGGTTTCACCCACACAGCTCCATGCAATGGCCGTTCCGGGCCTCCATGCATGCAGGGGCTGCCCCCCCAGACTCCTTGCCTCAGTGGCTTTCCTTAACAGTGGCGGAAGATTGTGTCACCCCTATACCCTTGATTTTTAAGCCAGAACCATTTGACTGAAGCTGCCAACTTCTTTTGCTTGCTGGGGCTGGAACCTGGGACACTTCACTCAGCCCCCAGGATTTACATTTGTATAAACCTGGACCTGTTGATGGTTTCTAGACCAAGGGAAATCTTCAGGCTTATTCTTTTTACAGCAGCAGGATTAGCTGGGTGGTGTTTGCTGTAAGGGTACGTCTCTCTTTATTCTATTTTGAATCAGGTCTTTCTTTGAACTTTTCATCTCCTTGAGCCTAGGACCTGGCTCCAGTATTACATTTCCTGCTGTTCTTTTTCTACTCAAACCATATATTTTGTATTTCTTTTTGCCCAGCTTGCACGTTTTCATTGTAGATCTACGTAAGAGTGATCACTAATAATCACACAACACAGTCAATATATTTGCTCTCTTAAAATCTCCTCTGCTGGTGCCATCAGTCGAAAACTCTTCAATTTAGCTTCCAGAAGATATTTTAGACAAAGGCAAAAAGTAATCACTTTGCCAAAATGTCACAATAATGGTCTCCAATATTATTCCCCTTAGAAATCTCTTGAGCTGGACTACCATAATCCATATATCTCTCAGTAATACTTCCTCCCTTGCTCCTACTAGGATGGCCCATTCAGCCCTGCTTAAAGAATTCAACTACTTTTCTAGCCCAAACTCCCAAAGTCTTCCATATTCCTACAAACAATTGTGTGTTCAGGTTGTCACAGCAATATCCTTGTTACCAACTATTCTACTGCTGTGAAGACACCATGACCAAGGCAGCTCTTACAAAAGAAAGCCTATAATTGGGGCTTGTTTACAGTTCCAGAGGGCTAGTTCATAACCAAAGCAGGAAGCATACAGGCATGGCTCTGGAACAGTAGCCAGTAGCTGAGAGTCCTACATCCTGATCCAGAAGCAACAAGCAGAGAGAGAGACAGAGACAGAGACAGACAGAGAAGCAGAGAGACAGAGACCCACCCACACAGAGGCGGGCATGGCTGGCATGGGCTTTTGAAACCTCAAAGTCCACCCCAGTGATAGACCTCCTTCACCAAGGCCACACTTCCTAATGCTTCCCAAATAGTTCATCAACGGGACTAAGCGGGCAAATATATGAGCCTATGGGGGCCTTTCTCATCCAAACCACCACACTTACTGTTAGTGAGACACCCTGCTTTTTCTTGTCATTAAGTAGCTTCATTTTAGTGACAATATATTCATTTAAAACTAAAGCTTATATCAAGACTCCAAAGATGGCCTTTTGGCAGGTGGGGGCGGAGTCACCAGACCTCTTTATTTGCTCTTCTTCCCAATTGGCCACACTGGATATATCTTCTCTTTCTGCATGTTTAGTGACAAGTTAATCACAGATGGAAAGGAGAGATCAAAAGGAAAGATTCCACATAGCTGCTGACATGACTTTCTCCTGGGGAGTTTTCCTTATATTCCCACTGCAACCAGCAGCAGATTTTTTTTTTTTTTTTTTTTTTTGGCTTCTCTTTGACAAAGTAGAGAAACGAACAACTGGATTTTGTTTTAGACTTGAGAAAGTTTGACTTTTAATACGTTTTCCCCGATCTTTGTACCCTGGACTTTGCCTTCACCTTAGTTTTGGGGCTCCATTAAGCTAAGTCTGTCTGAGCCACTTTGGTGACTGGCTTGGTTTTTCTGATCTGTTTTGATTTTGTTGGGCTCTATGTATGCCAGGCTCTGTCAGCTTGAAACGGTTTTGAGGCTGTGTGGTGCCATTGGTTCTGCTGAGTCATGAAAGGCCGAGAGACAAGGCCTCTATTGTGGTTTGTGTAATGACAAATAATATGTTTGGGGTATGTGAGATGGCTCCAAAGGGAAAGGCACTTGCTGCCAAGTCCCATGACCAGAGTTTGATACCCAGAACCCACATGATAAAAGGAGAGAATCAAGTCCCTCGTGTTGTCCTCTGATTTCTACACATGCGAAGTAGGTTGCATGGACATGCATATATATGTGTACACACAACCTTAAATATGAGTGTGTTTCAAATGTTTAAGTTTTGACTATCTTTGTGCTCCCTAGGGAGAATTTTACCTGACCAGTCTTTTATAAACTTGGATTTCTAAGCAGTGATGAAGACAGGAGATGGAAACAGGTTAGGCATATTGGGGGCAAGGACCCTAAAAGCAAGCAGTTTTAATTCTTGTCCATGGCCAGAAGCAGACGTCTTTGGTTCTGTCCTGGTTGGATGCCAATAGTGCCAGACTGGAGCTGATAATTTGTAAATGGACTTGAAGTAAGCAGACTAAGGACTAAGGAATCCAGACTTTGCCTGTTTTTCTAGTAGTAATAGATGTTACAAAATAAGGGCATATTATGTCTGTACTACGAAACGGTGCTATTCCTTGGTCATATATATTCTTAAGGTTCATAATGCACATTATCTGCTGTTACTTTTTCTCCCTTTTGATATAAACATGTAATTTGTGTACTTGTAAAGCAAGTACAGACTTTCTCCTTCTTACTAGCATTGGATTGGTTGGCACGTGTAGGACACAGGACTGAAGACTCTGATGATCTTTTACACTGGCTCCTCGGCTCAGACAGTAGGACATGAAAGGGCATTGCATATTCTGCCTAAAGATCAGGAAAAAAAGAAAAAGAAAACCTCTTAGAAATTTTCTTTCTGCATGGCGCTTTATCATTCAGGTTATTTGTTTGTCTTATTTTTGGAACCAGAGTCTTATGAACTCCAGGCTGACTTTGAGCTATTTTGATTCTCCCGACTCCAGCTCTCGAGTACTCAGATTACAGGTATGGGCCAGCACAGCTGGTTTATAGTATGGTGAGAATCAAAACTAGAGAACTGTGTGTGCCAGTTACAGCTCCCATCCTCAATTCTTTACATTTGGAATATCAAGCTAGGATAACTACCAACTATTTTGTTCTTAAAATACTAGCTGTTTTTCAATGCTGGCCATTAAACTAGGGCTTCATGGATGCTAGGCAGGTGTTTCACCATTGAGCTTACACTTCAGAGCTGAGTCCTTTCAAATATGGTGTTTTATGCAATCCCCTAAAGTGAATGTTTTTTTTCCATCACATTTTATGAATAAGGGGAAAAAAAAACTCCAGGGAACTGAAAAGATTTGCTGAGGTTTGTGTTTACTAATGACTATTTCTCTTGTTTACAAATGACTATATTCCCTTCCAATGAAACTTGGATTTTAAATTCATAATAAACGTTTTTCTAAATGTAAGTGAAGTTCAAACCCAGGAAAGCAGCCAGCTCTGTTATAACAGAAAAATCCACACAGAGTGGGACCAACAGAGAAGAGGACAAGAAGGTGGAGGGAGAGTGCAGGGCATTGTACATCCTTCTCTGGCCTCTGCCCATTTGGACACAGATGTTTAGAGCCCTCCAAACATGTGCATATATCACACACATGAACACCACATGTGTGAACATCATGAGACAAGAGCGAAACATACTTCGAGTTAAAGGCACAGGGAAGGACTTTCTGGAAAGAAATCGAGCACACAGAAGGTGCTCTCAACGATCAATGCATGAGCTTCCTTAAAATGTTTCTGCACAGCAAACTGTTCAGAGTGAAGAGGTGATCTTCAGAATGGGAAGAAATATTTGCTAGCTATACGTCAGACAGGGATCTAATGTATAAAATTCATAAATGACCAGAGTAAACGCCAAGATATTCAAAAACAGAAATATAAGTGGCCAATAAATATTTGAAAAGGGTGTTCAATATCCTTAGCTATCACTTTAGTAAAATTAAAATCTCCTTAATGCTCCATCTTGCTGGTAAGGCTTTATTGCTGAAGACCACACTTAACACACATAACTCATTGAACATGAAGAGGTTGCACTGGTACCTAACCAGAGACTTCACCCCCACTGAATAGTGTTCACCGTACTGGAAGGTATTCTGCATGCTTCCCGAACAGAAAGGTAAACACCATGCTACTATAAGCTCTTTCATCCTCAATAGTGACCTGATCACATGACACAAAAGCTGTGGGAGTAACCAACCAATATCTGCTTGTATTTTAGGCTACTCCATAAGATGGAACCCATACCCAATGCCACTTAGGTGACCAAAAACCTGAGATTATATAGTTGGGGGAGGGAGACAAATCCCATTGTTCTGCTAAAGAAATGCAGCAATAAAATGGTTCCCAATGACCTACTGCTATACTCAAAGGTCAGCACCTTGCTCAGCCATGGTCAGAGAAGCTTCCTCCTGCAGTACCTGAGAATGAACACAGAGACCCACAACTGGACGGTGTGCAGAGTGAGAGATCTCAGAACACTCAACGGGAAATGGGATGTCTCCATCAAATCCGTCCCCTCAGTGTTCTTTGCCCCAGAGGTAATTTATAGATTCAATGCAATTCCCATTAAAATCCCAACACAATTCTTCACAGACCTTGAAAGAAGAATACTCAACTTCATATGGAAAAACAAGAAAACCAGGATAACCAAAACAATCCTGTACAATAAAGGAACGTCTGGAGGCATTACCATCCCTGACTTCAAGCTCTATTACAGAGCTACAGTAATGAAAACAGCTTGGTATTGGCATAAAAACAGATGTTGACCAATGGAATCAAATTGAAGACCTGGATATTAACCCACACACCTATGAATACCTGATTTTTGACAAAGAAGCAAAAAGATACAATGGAAAAAGAAAACATCTTCAACAAATGGTGCTGGCATAACTGGATGTCAATCTGTGGAAGAATGAAAATAGATCCATATCTGTCACCATGCACAAAACTCAAGTCCAAATGGATCAAAGACCTCAGTATAAATCTGACCACACTGAACCTGATAGAGGAATAACCAAGCCCCTCTCAAGGGGGTTGACAACTGGGGCAGACTGAGGGGCCACTGATAGTGACACTGGGATGTGTCTCTACTTGCATATACTGGCTTCATGGGATCCTCTTCTCTTTGGATGTAAACCTTGCTCAACTTAGTAGTAGGGAGGGTCTTGGACTTTCCACAGGGCAGGGTGCATGGCACTCCCTTAGGGTTGGAGGGGTGGAGGGAGGGTCTGTGAAGGGAGAGGATGGGGAGGAGGGGAGGGAGTGGGAATTTGGATTGGTATTTTTTTAAGTAATAAAAAAGGAAATAAAGAAAAAAAATTAGCCAATAAAGCTGACAGAGAAATCAAGAAAGCAACTGTATTTATGGTATCTATCTCTCTCTATATATGTATCTTTCTAACTATCATCTCCTAGCAATTTAATCAAGAAGATGAGAGAAAGGGAAAACATAAGTACATGCTCTGGAAGAATTCCTAATATTAAACTGTACATCCTGTCCAGGGCGATCTACAGGTTCATCCTTATTTATCTTACAGTCACGTCCTCAAGAGGTATATATAAAAACCCAAAATCTTATGGAATCACCAAAAGCCCCAAATGGCCAAAGAAATCCTTAAGGAAAAGAAAAAGCTGGAAAAAGTAAAACACCTAAGTCCAAAACATATCACCAAGCATGACATAGCGGTATACATGCAATGGCGCAACTTTGGAGGTCAATATAGGAGTACCTTGAGCCTAGACTGGGCTGCACGAAGAGCTTCTGTGCAGCTCCATACCCAAGGTCCACTTAGCAAAGAGCCAGGACCTGGTCCCTAGCACACACAAAAGGAAGGCTCAAGCTCTATTCTACAGCACAGGGAGATGAAATGGTTATACATTTCACAGTAGCTAGCCCAGAGCATTTAAGATGTTTCTCAACACAGAGAAGTAAATGTGTGAGGTGATGGATATACTAATTATCCTGATTTGATAATTGCATATTACATGTGCACATCAAAATATACACGCATAACTAGATGTAGTTATTATGTGCCAGTTAAGACTTTTTCAAAGAACCAGGCCCAAAGAGATAGCTGGATAAGTTCTTTCAAACTTTCATGTAGTAAAAACAAAACAAAACTCAAAAAGAACTCACATCAATTAACATAAAAAAACCAGCTAGTTCCTTGGGCAGCTGAGGAGAGGGAACCTGAAATGGCCCTATCTTATAGCCATACTGATGAATATCTTGCATATCACCATAGAACCTTCATCTGGCGATGGATGGAGATAGAGACAGAGACCCACATTGGAGCACCGGACTGAGCTCCCAAGGTCCAAATGAGGAGCAGAAGGAGGGAGACATGAGCAAGGAAGTCAGGACCGCAAGGGGTGCACCCACCCACTGAGACAGTGGGGCTGATCTATTGGGAGCTCACACTGGGCACTGAAAAAGCATGGGATAAAACCGCACTCTCTGAACATGGCGGACAGTGAGGGCTGATGAGAAGCCAAGGACAATGGCACTGGGTTTTGATCCTACTGCATGTACTGGCTTTGTGGGAGTGTAGCCTGTTTGGATGCTCACCTTCCTAGACCTGGATGGAGGGGGGAGGACCTTGGACCTCCCACAGGGCAGGGAACCCTGACTGTTCTTCGGACTGGAGAGGGAGGAGGAGAGGAGTGGGGGGGAGAAAGAGGGAAATGGGAGGCGGGGAGGAGGCAGAAATTTTTTCAATAAAAAAAAAAAAACAGAACTTTTTCAGTTGTTTAAATAATCTGGCATAGTCTTAACATCAAAGCCTGAAAAGAATCTATGTGCTAATCTCACGATGTTAGGATTTTTTATAAATATATATTATATATGTAATTTTATAATAAAATGCTAATTAACACTATACAAACCAGTACTTCAAATGAAGTATTAGAATGAAAGATCTCTAAGAGATATGTTATTATAATTCATTTCCCAGTGAGCTAAAATGGATGGAAAACAATGTCATTTTTTTTGTAACTGTTTCAGGGTTTGCTTGCTTACATGTTTGAGAAAGGGTCTTCCTATGTGGCCCTTTGATGTTGCAATTCTCTTGCCTCTTCTGGGATGACAGGCATGTACCACCATGTCAGGTCCAATGTTGCCTTAATAGCAACAATACCATAAATAGTTTAATAAATCTAACAGCTATCATGAATAAAACCATAATAAATCCATACAAAAGAGTCATTTTGCATAATTTTAAAGTGTACGATGTAAAACCAACAGCTCATATGACAGCTGAGGTAATCAATACACTAGTCTATGAAATGGCAAGAGGGATTGACATTCCGCTGGGGCTGATGGCACAGGCCTGTGATCCCAGCTCCTTCCGAGACCGAGTCTGGAGGATCACAAGTGTGACGCTACCCTGGGTCACCATTTCACTCATTTTGTTTGCCTCAGAACAAGAAGTGAGAAGAGGCTGGTGTGTGTGTGTGTGTGTGTGTGTGTGTGTGTGTATCAGTGTTAGAGCACTGTCTAGCATTCCCAAGACCATAAATTCAGTCTCCAACTTCATATCAATAAAAAAGGAGAAACAAAAGGAAGAAAAAAAAGGAAAAAAGCAACAACTATTACTATTATTTATGAATTTTTAGGAAGCACAGAGTAATGAACTAGGAATAATGATGGAATCTGTACACACACACACACAGAGAGAGAGAGGGAGAGGGAGAGAGAGAGAGAGAGAGAGAGAGAGAGAGAGAGAGAGAGAGAGAGAGAGAGAAACCAAAACTACCTTTGGCAATCCTGACTCACCATGAGTAAGCAT